CAGAGACTGCACAGAGACTTCCCCTGACCCATCCACAGAGAGACTGAGTGCTCAGAGACAGAGAAGAGAGCGCCGGCCCTGTAGAGTGTTCATAGGGTGCACCCAAATACAGAGGTGACTGCATGGAGAAAGTGGAAGGAGGAGAGGGCGCGTCACCACAATAACAACCGGAGACCTCCCAGTATAAGAGAGCGCCGTGCACCCCGAGAGACTGACATTGTATCTACATCCAGAGAGAGCGCCGTGCACCCCGAGAGACTGACATTGTATCTACATCCAGAGAGAGCGCCGTGCACCCCGAGAGACTGACATTGTATCTACAAGGGGGAGGGGACCTGTATGTGTTACATTGTATCACTTCCTATTGACACACTGTGGGGCCCCTCACCGGTATCCGTGGGCTGTGTGTCAGCTGACTGATCATTCCTGTTTATCCTCCGGAGGGGGAGGGGAGCCAATATATTGATTAGATTCAACTTTCCAACCTTATCGATCACTATCACCCCAGATCATCTATGGCACGGGGCCCCATAGACTTCCACATACCTAGTAGATCATGTGAGGTGAGTTGTGCGGGGCGAGCGTGGATCATGTGTGGGGGGTTGTGCGGGGCGAGCGTGGATCATGTGTGGTGGGGTGTGCGGGGCGAGCGTGGATCATGTGTGGTGGGGTGTGCGGGGCGAGCGTGGATCATGTGTGGTGGGGTGTGCGGGGCGAGCGTGGATCATGTGTGGTGGGGTGTGCGGGGCGAGCGTGGATCATGTGTGGTGGGGTGTGCGGGGCGAGCGTGGATCATGTGTGGTGGGGTGTGCGGGGCGAGCGTGGATCATGTGTGGTGGGGTGTGCGGGGCGAGCGTGGATCATGTGTGGTGGGTTGTGCGGGGCGAGCGTGGATCATGTGTGGTGGGTTGTGCGGGGCGAGCGTGGATCATGTGTGGTGGGGTGTGCGGGGCGAGCGTGGATCATGTGTGGTGGGGTGTGCGGGGCGAGCGTGGATCATGTGTGGTGGGGTGTGCGGGGCGAGCGTGGATCATGTGTGGTGGGTTGTGCGGGGCGAGCGTGGATCATGTGTGGTGGGTTGTGCGGGGCGAGCGTGGATCATGTGTGGTGGGGTGTGCGGGGCGAGCGTGGATCATGTGTGGTGGGGTGTGCGGGGCGAGCGTGGATCATGTGTGGTGGGGTGTGCGGGGCGAGCGTGGATCATGTGTGGTGGGTTGTGCGGGGCGAGCGTGGATCATGTGTGGTGGGTTGTGCGGGGCGAGCGTGGATCATGTGTGGTGGGGTGTGCGGGGCGAGCGTGGATCATGTGTGGTGGGGTGTGCGGGGCGAGCGTGGATCATGTGTGGTGGGGTGTGCGGGGCGAGCGTGGATCATGTGTGGTGGGTTGTGCGGGGCGAGCGTGGATCATGTGTGGTGGGTTGTGCGGGGCGAGCGTGGATCATGTGTGGTGGGGTGTGCGGGGCGAGCGTGGATCATGTGTGGTGGGGTGTGCGGGGCGAGCGTGGATCATGTGTGGTGGGGTGTGCGGGGCGAGCGTGGATCATGTGTGGTGGGTTGTGCGGGGCGAGCGTGGATCATGTGTGGTGGGGTGTGCGGGGCGAGCCGTGACGTCTGATCCGTGTACAGAGCTTCAGGTTGGCAGTATTCCTCGCTGTCCTCCGGTGACTCCGCCTCTCTGTCCCTCGCCACGCTCTGATGGGGGGAGGGGGGGTCAGTACACACGTGTGCAGCCACACACAGGGCACAGAACACAGAGACCCGCACCAGCACAGACACACACGTGTGGCACAGTTGGGCGCAGCTCCAATCACACCCTCCAGGCGAGGGGCGTGGCGGCGGTGTTCCGACTCTCACCACATTATTTATACTTCTCCTGCCTCAGGGGAATCTTATGTCATCCACGAGGCCCCTCCCAGGTGACCGCCACTGAAGCCGTGTACATAATAATATCCCGAGAGGGAAGCCGTGTCACCATCATTGTTATCTCATCTCCTTGTCTGAGCTCCGGAACCTTCCGCTCTAGACGTGGCCTCATAGTGCCGCCCACACTGAACCCCGAATTCTAGACGTGGCCTCATAGTGCCGCCCACACTGAACCCCGAATTCTAGACGTGGATGTTATGCTGGTGTGCTCTGCTCCCTATCTTGGGGTACC